GGAACAAAAGGCCCTTTATCACCCCACCCCGCTGCACCAATGTAGGGGCAGCACAGGGTCAGCCTTCTGTGAGAGGAGCAGCTGGACCTGGGCTCACACAGCCCAAACATCTTGGGGCTCAAACTAGCAGGTGTATTGTACAGCATTGTACAGCTTGATGATTTTAAACGATGCTATATAAAATGTGCAAAGCCCACGGCAGCGTAGCACCTGTTTCTCATGGTTCGCACCTATATCGGCTGGTGGCCGTGGCTTTGGATCGAATGGATCGAAATGCTTGTCCAAAGGCAAGCCCTCCCAGGAGACTTGCAGAGAAACACTCGAGAAGCGCTTGCGAAATTGTGCCATTGCACACATGCAAGATAAGCAGGGAACCTCGGTCATAAAAAGTGCCAAGTAGCCCTCCACAAGTGCTTCAGCGTCTCTACTTGCTCCACATGGCACTGACTCAGACAGTCCGTCAGGGCGAGCCCCGTTTGCAAGCAAGTTTTGCGCAATTTCTTGAGCATGTGCATCTCCCTCCGCGTGCAGCAAAGTTCGGGCAGCTGCAGCTGTCCTGGCCATTGCTCGGAACTCGGCATCCCATGCACGGTGATCAACCCTGTCGTGGTGCAGTTTTACATGCACCAAGCCGGCACAGTCTTCGCGGTATTTGACGACAGTACTGTTCAACCAACGTCCAGGCTCATGTGCAACCAAGCCCTTGGTCTTGACGTATGCTCTAAAAAAACACCAGTTCTGCCGCTCACCTCGCCCATCAGAATTAACCTGCTTTAAAGCACAAGACCTAGCTGCAGTCCCGCCCAAATCTTCAGTCCATTCTGCCCTTCGCACCCCAATATCACTCAAGAGCCTCCAAGAATGCTCACACCCCAAGCCACGAACTCGGAATGATTGTAAGGACTCTTGGTAGCGCCGGATGGTAGGTGTCTCCTTCGGTTTCTCGGATGAGAGAATGGACTGGAACTCCTCAGCGGTGCTGAGGAAACCGTGTAATGACCTTTGTTGGGCCCAAAGCATACCACTCAGCGCTTGCCAGCCCGGTGTGCTTCTTAGCTCTGAACCGCCAGGCAGCTGCAACCACGGCAGAATTGCATCATGGACAACCCAGGCATCATCTGAATCAACATCACCAGTCCCTGCTTGCAGGCGGGAATGGAACTGATCCAAAAGCCGTTGCATGGCCCCAAGTGTCCAGGCAGGGGTGCCGAGCAGTGCATCTCCCAGCCGAGGGAGGCCGGCGAATGTAAAGGCCAATAGTTTTGCATTGCTCCAAGTTCCCAGTCCGCGAGGCCCGTTGGTTATTCGACCAATGAAGTGCAAAAGCTTATCGTGACGATGTCTGAGAGTGATGAACGCCCATGCTACCATGGCCAAATGTTGTCCATGAAAGTCATCACGCCGGCAGGTCTCAGCTGCAGCTGCCTCGAGCAAGTCTTCATTGTGCTCACCAGCAGATGCAAAAGCCCAAACTGTGTTTGACAAGTCCTGGTTGTTGAATTCATGTATTGTTCGAATTGACGTTGAAGCAAGGGCATCATAGATCGTCCGATCTTTTGCTAGCAAAGTTGTGAAAGCCCAAGCTGTTGTTGAGATATCTTGTGGATTTAACTGGGTGAGCTTTGGCACTACATCCCCAATTTGCTTGAGCAACTCTTCTGGGCGGTACAGCACGGCTGCAAAGGACCAAACAGCCATCGCCAGGTGCTGAGGAGTGTAGCCCTGCAAGGCCACGGCGGTCTCGTGTCGACCATCATCTCCAGTCATTGCAGCTGCTGCTTTAGGGAAGAAGTGAGAGCAAGCATCCTGAGGTGCTGCGGTTGCAAAGGCCCAAATCGTTTGGGCTAGCTGACTAGGGGTGTACTCGGGAAGCCTGGCAATCACCAAGCAGCTGCATCTACGGAAGAAAGCTTCATCTTTCTGCACAAGCTTGGCCCAAGACCATGCAATGCGTGATAAATCCCCTGGTGTCCAAAAGCTGCTTCCATCATTGCGAAGAGATGTGTCGACAGATGCCACCAGCCGCTGTAGCTCTGGTACTCTCCGTGCGTCAGCACTCAGCGTCGCAAAGCTCCATGGTATGAGCGAGGTGCTCATTGCATCCCACTGGCCTGGTCCGCTTCTTTCCGCACATCGAAGAACGGCAGAGTGGAGCAAGTGCATTCCATCCTGTTGCGCCCGCAGGCGGGCGATTGCCCAAGCCATGTTTGCCAGTTGTCGAGGTTCTGCTTCATTTAGAGCTTCGCCATTCAAGCGCCTGAGGAGTACAGGCCAGGAAGGATGTTCACGAACCTTTGAAGACTGCCTTTCCCGCAAGAAGTGTTGCTGACGCTGAGGCATGCCTTTGCCCTGAGGTGTGTGCTTATCCACATCATGGCTTAAGCGGGCTAAACGGTGAAGCGCGACGGTGCAAGAGAAAGCATCTAGTTCAGAAAGTCGAACAGACAGTACTGACTGCAGCTCCTCCACTGTCCGAGCAGCATTCAGCGATCCTAGTGCCTGCCGCCGTTGTAGTGCATGGAGGCCAGCTTGACCATTCCGAACCGCTACATCTGCTGCCGCCAATGCTACCCCTGCCCGGTTCAGGCCACGGCCTGCTAAGGATCCGTAGTACGATACGGCGCTGGTTTGTGGTTGGGCTGCACTTGATGTTGGCAGAACACTTTGCGAGGCAGGGCGCACTGCTTGTAAACCGTCAGGATTGCGTTCACAGTCACTGCCGGCAGTGCCCACATTCTCGAACTCTTCCACCGACGCCAAGGAAAACTTTGCATAGTATGAAACCATGTCCGGTGCCGGTCAGCGGCCCACACAGCAGAAGTCTCGCACTGCTCCATTGGCAAACCAGGAGAGGAGAGTTAACAGAAATGTTAGGTGATAGAAGGTGCCTAGAGTTGAACCCTCGTGTACCGCACTTGATTGAACACAGGTGAGCTGTGGAGTGTTTCTCCATTCGACATGGGGCCGAACATTCTGCACATTGGCATGAGGCCATTAAGCTGTCTATGCCATGTGCTTGCTAGCTCTCTGTGTGCGGCTGGGCTTTAGTGCTTTCCACATTGTCCGAGCTGAATGAGCCATCAGTCCAGGCCCATAAGGCAGGGTGACCAAAGTCAATCGCAAAACTCAATTTGGATTTCCAACTTGGGCCACCGGCAATAGAGCCAGAGTTGCTCTGAGCTGCCAGGTGCAAGGGTGTAATCCGGTCACGATTCTCTGCATAAATGCTTGCCTGAACAGAAAACTAAAATCAAATGGAATGTACTGGAACAGGCCGGGACAGGCACTACTCGCCTTCGCAGTGACCAGAGCATGCGAGATACCTTCATATCCTTGTCGGGCTGCCCAATGAAGTGGTGTATGTGCCAAGCCATCTTGAACCTAAGTCTCACATGTATAATTCCGGTTATCCTCTTTGAGCTCTGGGTATCTGCTATATTGCAAAAAGATACAAACATAAGAATGTAACGCCCCGCGTCTATCTCCTTTTTCAAGCCCCATCTAGTCAATTAGTAGTATACAACTCCAAGATCCACGCAGAAGGGCTTGCACCCAAGTGCAGCAAGGCCTGAAGAGAGGCAAGAAGCAACGTGAAATCAGCTACATGCACTAACTCGTGCGCATTTTGTCGGCCAAACATTCTTTCGGAAGCACATGCCAGCCTCAACAGCCCGTTCTTTGCCTGGCAGCGATGCCGGTTTATCTTAAATGAAGCTAAGTGGCAAGCAAATGTCTGTCGGCCTTCATAAACTGCTCGCATCAATCCATCTTTCAAACAGCTCTGCTTGTCCTCCTGCATGGCTCGCTCAGCATGAAGATTTGAATGAGCTAAATGGCTCGGGCCTAGCCCCAAAAGTTGCTGTTTCAACTCAGTGATAGGTTGTTAGAGCAAGAGGTGCAAGAAGGATCTTCAACCATTGGAGATGTGTTATTTGAGATCAGGATGTCCTCTGTCATGTTAGATAGCCGCTGTTCCAGCAAGAGCGTGTCACCTCGACCGAAGGGATGTTTTGCAGTTTGCAGGCCAGCTTGCTCCATTCTCTGGCTGCACATTGCGAATGTGTTCTGCTGCTTAGAACTTGGAGCATGTCGCAAGCCATGTACGTAAAACTTTTGGCAAAAGAGTGGCAACTAAGGTTCCACAAAAAAGTAAGAAGTTTTGCCTGCACCCACAGAATCATAGGCATCCTGGGGAATCAATGGCCTCAGCAAAGCAAAAAGATCACTGTCGGGTGCGCATGACTCGACATAATTGACAGGGCATCGCTTCTAGTAGCAAGGACGCCATTAGGGGCTCCTGGCATCGCTACTAGGAACAAGAAGCTACTAGGGGCTCCTGGCATCGCTACTAGGAGCAAGAAGCTACTAGGGGCTCCTGGCATCGCTACTAGGAGCAAGGACGCCACTAGGGGCTCCTGGCATCGCTACTAGGAGCAAGAA